ATGAGATCAGCTGCAGCTTCTGCATATGCAGTATTTAGAAGAACAAAAATCTTTAACTAAATCTGAAAATTCAAAGAGGAAACGAAATATCATTGAGGAAGAAAATAATTATATGAAGCAGAAGAAAAAATTTCTTCAAAGGGACATTAAAGATATTAATGAAGAAGTAGATGAAGCTGAGACCAGCATGAACATTGATTTGTTTATCAAAGCAAATGAACTTAGAAGAATAGTTAAAAAAAAGGAAATAGACATAAATAAATTAGATGTTAAAATAGCTGAAAAGATTTCAGATTTAAAATAAAAGCACAAATGTTTTGTATCTTTTATTGTACAGTTTATTATTCTAGTATCTTTCAAAAAACCAAGGAAATAAATTGTATGTTTACAAATCAGTTATTTTAATCTGCAAAATATTCTTACATTGTGATTAAAATAATAGTTGACTGTGTTTAAATAAATATCAAATAAGTTAAATAATAATCATGTAAATCTCTAAAATAGTGACTGTTATTAGTGTAAAATACACTTATACATGTTTTTAAAGAAATTATGTTCCTAATTTAATGTTATCTACTTCATAACTTGTAGGGAGTTAGTTTAATTTTCAAAATTGTTTTATTTTAAGTATTAAAGTGAATTTAATAATAGTGCATAATACACACTTCTGTTAGTTTCTTAAAGTGAAATTACAAGCATGAAGTCGGTTGTATGGATAATTGCTTTATTCTATTCTTTTTTTTTTTTGTTTGTTTGTTTGCTGATAGGTCCTTAATTTTTTCTTTGATGGTCCTTAAAAGTCCTTAATTGTCATGTAAGGAAATGTGTACGAACCCTGATATATATAAATATAAATTTTTATATTAATCCTCTTAGAAAGAATGTTTTAAGAAGGTAATTTTTCTCTCGTGTCATAGATTGTATAAAAAAACATGATCTTTAATATGATTTAGATTGTTTCAGCCGATATAAAAATCGGGTAAATCTGTGGTACAGAATAAACACTTATTTCTTTGTCATTTAGTAAAAAATCTTTTAATTAAAATATTTATCGTTTGGACTTTGCTCTATACTTTGTTTATAGTTAAAATGTCTAGAAAAGTAAGAGCTGTCTTCAACTGAAACGCAGTTGACGCAATTGATATTTTAAAAAAAATGGACAAGAATGCAAAATTTATGGAAGTCTAGCGATCGAAAAATCTTAATTTTTTTGTGTGAGCACTGAAAATAACTGTAGAAGGAAAAAAGAAAATTAAGGAGAAAAGTAAGCAAAAATTTGAAGGAAAATTTGGCTGTCAAGACATACCAAGATGTTTTAAAAAGTTGAACGCTTTTGAATACACTTTCAGGATATTTTAAAGAATTTAGGTGCTCAAACAGAAAATACTTGGACGTGTACACCAGCAAATACCATCAATTCAGCTTGTGTTAACAGAAAAAACAAAAACGATATCATTGCAGATTAAAGTGAAGACTGGTTTTAGACTATATGGTTTGGTTTTAGACTGGTAGTTCAGTCCGAGGTTCGAATCCCGCGAACGGGCTGGCTGCATGGGCGTTTTCATGGTTTTCCCCGTTTGTAACATGTATACGAGCCAGTTTCCCTTAGAAAGTTCTCCACGAAGACATCCCTCTTCTTAGGCAGATAGCACTAGTGTACTTTGCCGTAATTAAATAAACCAAAACCTCTTGTTGAAACCAGCCTTTCCTTTCATCTCATACCTTCAAAATGCTAACCTCTAAAGTTTGATAAAGGCTCTGACTTAAATACTGATGAAATGGATTGAATTGGATTATGAAGTTACGGCAAAGCAGGGCTATCTGCCTAAACGGAAGGATGCCTTCGTGAAGAACTTTCTAAGGGAAACCAGCTGGCATACATGTTACACATGAGAAAATCCACAAAAACGCCAGTGCAACCAGCCCGTTGACCGAGATTCGAACGCCGGAGTGAACTAACAGTGTTCAGCGACTTTACCATTCGGCCATTTGTGTGTCTTTATGAAATGGAAAGCGATAACTTTATTTAAAATGATTGTCCAAAATACCAAGATGTTTCGAAAAAATGGGTGCTTTTTAATATACTTGCAGAATGCCTGAAGAAAAAGAGCAAGAATAAAGCAGAATGCCTGAAGAAAAACTGTTTAAAGCAGTGTATGCAAGTCATCCTAAGTTAAAATGTCGGTTATACATCTTTCTTATTTATAGATCTTTTCTGAACGGAACACTAAAAGGCATGTTAACTGTGCTTTACTCTATTTTCTCTTTTAATATATGCAGTTTTTAAATGCTTTGTATTCTGGGTCACAAAGTATTCTTCCAAAAGAAACACAATTCAAATAAATAAAAACAAATTCTGGAAAATTTATATTAATAAATATATTTAAAATGCTCAGTTCGAATGAATAAATAGAAAATTTTTAAATAATTATCTGAAGAGACAATGCAACACTAACAATTAAAATAAAAGTCTAAAAATTTAAAAATTACCTAAAATAGTAACTATGACAAAAAATATGGTATAAAGAAAACTATTTGAAAAAAAAAATAAATAAATAAAAATAAACGATGCACCTTTGATTTAAACTACGAAATTCGAATGAGTAAATAGAAAATTTTAAAACAGTTATTCGAAAGAAACTATGCAACTTAAATAATTAAAATGAAATTTGAAAAAAAAATTGCTTAAAAGTAATAACAATTGTAATTAAAAATATAATATAAAGAACATAATTTGAAAGAAGGAACGATTGAGTCTTTTTTTTCCTCTCACGCATTACGTAAAAATCGAAATGAAAATAGGTTGCCACATATTAAGAAGTTTGCCAAGTGAACTAATTTTGGCGCAAACTGAATAAAAAGTGGCAACATAAATTGTTGAATTTCTCCGGAAATTTCACGCTAAATTTTAGGCATAATTTGAGTCGTAGAATCGAAATATGTAAAAAAAATGGTATGTTATTTCAGAAAAAGTCCGATTTTGTGTCAAAATACCTATGTTAGAATAGTGCTATATATAAATCTAATATATATCCTAAGCCATGCTTTTGAGACATGAACGCAATTTGAATTTCGTGAATTGGCCCAGTAGAACGGGAGATATAGAACTGTCCCCTCCCCCCCCTTTTTTTTGAGCAGTGTACATATACACCATTAAATATTTCTGAACTGTAATAGTATTTTATATATTTTGTGCTTAAATAATTTATGTTGTAAAGTTGTGTAAGTTAAATAAACATGCTATTTATGCTATTGTGATGTTATAAATGTAATTGTTCTCGATTAGAAGTACAGGGGAATATTATGCATACTGACATAAAATATAGATTTAATTATAAATGCTATTACAGTTTTCTTTTAATCATCAGTAATCTGTTATTTATCAGATAATGCACAAAACATTTTAATATTTTATTTTCTTATGACAAATCTATACTAACATGTGAGTATATGTTTTTGATTCCAGTCAGTTGTTGGATAATTTTCTTCCAAATTCAATGCCTTAATAAAATTAACTGTTAATTTTTTAAATTGCTTTCTGTGTAATGTTGTTAAATAAAAGATGTAAAAGGTTAAATAACTTAACAATTCAACCATCCAAAGATTTGCTCTTCCTGAGATACGCATGAAGAAAGCATATTATTTTGAATATAATTCCAAAATGCCAACTGTAAATAATGTTATCCTTTTCTCTTGTGATTTGTTGCCTTAATGATTTAGGCTCATTTCAAGATGCACACATATATGCATGTATCATTCAACATATATTAAATATATAACTTGGCAGGTTGTAGCTTCGCAGGTTTTCATTCTAGCAGAATTCGCGTGTAACATTCAGAAACATGTCATGAGTTCCATGACCACTCCATGATCATGAATGCTTAAAAGAACTATTATATATGAGCTGGGCTTTTTCATCTTATAGTTTATCCTAAAGAAACAAAGAATACAAATTATTGAAAATGATGTAGAATGTTTAATTATAAAATGTGTTTTATAAAAATTCTTTCAAATAAGTTTAGAACTTAAAAGGGCTCTTTTCAGGGCTACCCTTCTGTCAGCATGGTATCTTGAAAACATATCTTTCCTATCCATAAATATAAGAAAGTATCTCACTGGAAAATGTGCTGATTTATTCTTAAATAGAAGAAATCTTGCACTGTTTCATGTACAAAAATATATTGATTAAGAGTTTGAATATATATGTGTGCACTTATATATATATGTATCATCAATTATCAGCACAATATCTGATTCCAGCTAAAAATAATCTCAAAGCTTGTAGGATTTAAAAATTTTGTGTGCGAGTGTCATATCATTTTGCAACATATCCCGAAAATGGATATTCTAAAAATGAAAACTATGCAAGCTGCAATGCCTAACACTTTGAAACTCTGTAGTTGAAAAGTGGTCAACTTGGGTATTTTGTCTTTTAATATGAAACAGTCATTTCTATAAAATTTTAAGCATCTCAATATTTATAATAAATTTCTATTCCCACTTCTTTTTATGCATCTTTCTGATTTTGAGGGTCACCATACAGTTTATGTTCTCAATCTTTGAAGTTCAAAATGTGCCTGTAAATATTATACAGAATAAGAAATTATTAATGTGAATTATCAGTTTTAGGCTTGAATTTCAAGTATGATTTTTGTATTATATGCTTATTGGAAAAAATGCAATAAAAAATCTCTTATCAATGTATGTGCATGATTAGTTGTAAATTCTGTCCAACATGATTTGGTCATTTGATTAGATATATATATATATTATATTGTGAAATATCTTTTCATATAATTATGCTCTCTTTAATATTCATAGTATTAAAATTTACTGTTTTAAAATTTTGTGTATGATTTATAGTCATATAAAATTAAGTAGTTTTTTTATTCTTAAAATTATGAGCAGAGAAAAGGATTTCTAGGTGGTAAAATTTAATACTTTATATATTTTGCATGTGCATGAAATATATGTGTATGAATTATAAGTACTGTATTTAAATTCACAATGTGTTTCCTAGGAAAAACTACAGTCTGCTTTAATATCCTATGAAGAAGTTATGAGGTTAAGAGATGTTCTTGAAGAAGATGAATCTAGATCTGACAATCGATTGCTTAATACTTTGAGAAGTGAACATATGCAGTTAAAGGTAAATCTTTTAGTAACGTCAGTAGCTTTAAATTCAGGAACTAAAATTAATAAACTAAATCATCTAATAGGTCTTTTACCTATAAAAAAATTAAAATATTAAAATAGTTAAGACACAATAACACGCCGAGCGGTTTTGCAGCTGAGGATGGTGGTTCAGTAAAACCATTAAAATTAGTCCTGTGAAAATTTTGAAAATATAACGCTGATTTTTGTTGTTTGACTTCTGAATTAGTATTAAAATAGTTGTTAAAGACTTGTTGTACTTTTATAGTCATGGCAATTATTGTGAAATTATATCTAAAACAGAGTATGAAAATAATCTTTTAATCCTGAAATCCTTTATGGCTGAAAAAAATATTTGATTTAAATATCTTAGAAGATTTTAATTAATCAAAGAAGTGGGAACCTACACAGATTTCTTTGAAATCTTAAAGCAGAATTTTAGCTAAATTAAAATTTCAGATTGGCATATGTATTCTCACTTCTGCTAAGTAATATTTAAAAATTCAGTTCCAGAAAAAAAATTGAAATATTTGAAGTTTAGAAGTAATGTTTTATATCACACTTTCAAGTTAAAAAAATAAATAATTAAATTGGTGGCACTTTATTTAAATGAATTGAATGATATCTATTTTTACAAGTGATATAAATGATGAGTGAAACATCATTCATGTTTTTGAGTTCTTTTTGGCTGAAAAATAACTGAGTCAGAACTTGGAAGTATATTTAAGAAAGATTTTGAGACGTTCATCTTTTTAAGAAAGTTGATGTTTTAAGGAATGTTAAACCAGAACAGTACAGAGACTTAAAGAAAACAATTAGCTTGGATATTTGCATAATCATAATATAACTTCTTTATGGAAAGGGCAAGAAATTAAATTTGGGGTCTGCCAGTTTGAGGCATCTATCTATCTTCTGACAGATTTCTTTTCAAAATGTTTTGCAAAGAAAAGAGTTTTGAAGAGCACATCTTTTATTTCCATTTCCCCTGTAAATGAAACTCTTCTGAAACCAACTAGAATATAATTGAAAATTTGTTGATAACATAGCTAAAACCACTAAAAAATTTGCTAATAATGTAGCTAAAACAGATTGAAGAGCAAAGGTTAAACTTACTTTAAAATATTTATTGTCTCCCCCCTTCCCCCATTTTCCCCCTTCAATTCTGTAATTTAGTATTGTTATTTACTCTTATTGTATTTCAGTTTCTTTAATATTCATTTTTTCAATATTGTGCATAAAATATTCAGCATTTTTTTTTTTTTTTTTTTTTCCATCTCAAAGGATCAGTTGAAGTCATTAAGGGAGACACATGAGGAAGTTACAAAAGAACTGAAAGCTTTGCAGGCTGTTCATAAATCTCTTAAAACTGAAAACAATGATCTGAAACTTAAGCATACTGCCATGCAAGGTGAACTAGTAGAATGTCAGAATGAAACATCATCACTAGATGTTGAAGTTTCAAAACTTACCAGTTGTTGTGAAGTAAGTAAAAGCATGTGGGTGTAGTATAATGATAAGGAAATACAGTGAAATCTGTGAGATATATAAGAACACACAGATTTACTTTTTGCACATTTTCGAAAAAATTAAGTCAAATTGATTGCTTATTTTATAAAATATCATTATATTTGTGTATGTAATAATTTTGAACTGTCATATATATTAAAATTTCTTACGTTCAAGCAATATTTGCACTTTGAAAATTGCAGTATCATAAGATGATGTACAGTTGTTCACAAGGTTATTTTACAACTCTGCTATGGGCCTGTTCTTACAAGTATGCCTCCTAATGGTTCTTCATATAGTGTTATCTCCTTTTTAGTTGGTTATCATTCTGATTTAAATCAGCTTGCACGCAGAAGCAGATTAATTTTAGCAAAACTTTGTAAGTTGGAATTAAAGTTAGAATGCATGCTGCAAAGAAAGTTAACTTAAATGATAACATTAACAATTTAGACAATGATCTTTTTAATATTACAATTCCCAATCAAGCTTGACTGTCAGTAAAACTTAATAATTTTTATCACAATTTAACTTAAAAGAAGCTGATTGCTCTTTGGTTCTACTCTTCTTCCCTTTTTTCTTTTAACATTTCTCTTTTATTTTCTCTTTCAGTTTGTTATTTATTACAGCTCATGTATTTGCTTAATTTTATATCCTTTCTCTTGGTTGTTTATAGTTTACATGTTCTTTATCTCATGAGCTTTTGTTCCTGGCTAGCATTTTAAGTAGATTTTTTTTTTTTTTTTGGCTTTGCTTTGCTTTTTGCACTAGGTTGCCACCTCCTCATCATGAAATTTTAATTATTAAAATGATTGTTACTTTTCTTTTCTGTACCCTTTGCCAGCAGCTATTTTTAACAAATTTAAAGACATTTTTCTTCTTACATATTTTTATGTACAAAAATTTAATAACTAATGCTTTCTATTTAATAGCTTTGTTTTGATTTTACTTAAGGTGCATGATTAGTTTATTTTAGGTGGCTAGTATATCTAGTTAAAAATATTTACTTTTATTTATAATGTATCTGCATCTTGTCTTTAAGACTCCAGGAAATGATATTCAATTTCTTTGTTTTTCTCTTTCTTATATGTATACTACCTACCTAAAATAGTTATTTAAAAAAAAAGAAAATAATGATTTTAATGAATCCAACAAGTATAGTTTCATGAGCCCAGCTAGTAATTTATAATAATAGAGATGGAGAACTGTGTTTGTTTCTTTTGAATTGCTTAGTTTTCAATCAATAACAGATAGATTAAATTGGAAAGAAAAGTATATTATGCTTTTCTGAATGGCAGCACATTGTTGTAAAAAAAGTATTTTGTTGCAAATAGTGGCAATTCATTTCTTTTAAATCATTGATTTTGTTTATTTAAGTTCAAAGACAAATTCTTATGCTTTGCTGAGAAGACTCATTTCTTTTAAATTGCTGATATTTCTGATGAAATTTGAAACATAATATCTTATGCTTATATGCAATACACTGCTGTTAAATCACTGAGTTTGTTAGTCAAAATTTTATTAATTTCATATGAAACATAAAATAAATAAATAAAAAAATTAAATTCAGGCCTGAAGGTGCTCATGTTCAGGTGGATGACTGTATCTTTAAAATTTAGTGGTTCTGTATGCTGTCATTTTTCCACAGTACACATACATATATACATATATACGTATATGCAAGTTCTTCATTATTTTAAAAACAATATATAATATTTTAATTAAAATTATTAAAGAAATTAGTTAGCATGATCTTTCATGGTTAATCCGGGGTTGTTCTTAGACTTCAGAAGCATGTTATTCAAATTTATTTTTACAGCTACTATCACAAAAGAATTCTTTATTGGAAGAGGAACAACAGTCTTTGATGTCACATGTATCTATATTATTGGAACAGTACCATGAGCTTTTATATCAAGTTATTTCTGAACAGGGCCAGTTTCGTAAAGAAGAAAATAGTTTGTAAGTTTCACATATTGTTTTTTTCCTCTGTAATAATTAGAGTACTTTCAAATGCCATATTTACACAAAATAATTTCAGTAGAGAGAAGTTGCGGGAATTGTGTCAACAAAAAGAAAAACTAGAACAGAAAATTTTAGATCACTGCAACAAATTACAAAAGTCACCAAAAAGGTACTTATATTTAGTTATCTTCTCATCTGTAATATTTATTAATTTTTATTGTTATTTTGTTAGTTTTGTAGTTACTAAATTGGCTAACATATACATAACTTAAAAGATTTCAAAACATTCTGCATGAACCCTCATTTACTAAGTTTAGATCATATTATATATATCAAATATGGCATTCATGGTTTCATAATGCAAAATCTGTTATTAAGTTTATTAGTTTTTCTGTAAAGGAAGTTCCAAAGAATACATGCCCTTTCTTCACTTTTGTAATTTTTAAAAATTAGCTGAAATTAATTAATAAATAAATTTTTGGTGAAAATGTGCTTTAGTCCACTGCTTGGCGATTTTCAGTAGTGACGATTTTTTGAAAATCGGCAGTAAAATCTCAGAATACATTGCGTAAACAAAGTTGCTAAGGCGGAGCTAAGTGATGTCCATAAATGGGTGGGACTAAAATTGTGACGTCACAATGTATTCTCTATAGTATAAGTATAATAAATTCTTTATATTTTAAGGTATAATAATGCAGTAAGTGAATTGTACCAGTTATTAAACGGTTAACATCGTCGCAGTCTCTCATATTTGTATTTCATACAGCTTCAGTATTTTCAAAGATTTTAGAATTTATACAAATAATAAAAGATTTTTTATTATTAAATTTATTGCGGCAATTATATCAGAATGTTGCAAATTATTGCGTGTCTTTTAAATAAAATAGTATATATATTCCAATTTGCATTAAATCTATTAATATAAAGGCTTAATAAATTTCAAGACTTCCCCTTTGATGATTTTTTTGATGCTGGATTATATTCTGGATAGCTACTAGAAAAATACTAACTCTTCTTTTGTGAATGATTCAACGTAAAATAAATCATACACATGATTTTGATTTTTTTTTTGGGGGGGGGTTATATTGACATAATATTATTTACATTTTTAGTTTAAAAGGACAATCATTTAAAGAACAATATCCGATTACAGCCGATTCAAAAACTACCCAAAATCGAGTTCAAGTTCTAAAAAAAAGTGCTAGTTCTACAGTTATTGTCTGGTTTCTCTCTGTAGCCAATACGCTCGGATCAAAAACTATTTCCCTTTTTTTTTTTTTTTTTTTTTTTTTTCCCCCCTTTTCTTTTACCGGAACAGTTGCCAACAAATTTAAATTCTTATTATCATACATTTTAATTTATCATTTTTAAAAATTACCTTGTTGCTACGTAACGACACAATCCGTTAGGTACTAGTAAGTAGACAATCTTCATTATTTTCTAAAAATTTTAAACTTTAATAAAAAAATAATAAATATTTTTATTGCAGATCAACATCATACGCAGCTTTCACTGTTTCTTAAATTCTTAAATCACGTCATATTCTATAGTCATACTAGAATTCTATACATTTTACAAATAAAAAAATCTAATTTCTCACAATGAAAGAAAATAAACACTACAAATTTGGAACACTAAGCAATGCTTCACACATATTGAATACAATGAATATATATACAATGAACTCATATTATCAAGTGCAATTGCGATAGCCAAATACTACGTATTAAAATATAGGAAAAGTATAACGTTATTTAAAGGGTCAAATTTTGCTACTATTGAGTAGATCGTCGGGTTATCGATATTTTTCGGAAAGCATTATCAACATATCAAAACCAATCAATTAAATACAATTAAAAAAAGATGTCTAAAGTATAACTTGCAAATAAAACAACATTGCATATAAAATACGTTACATTACAGCTCAGTATAACATTCAGCCTCGCTTTGTTCATGTGCACAACGATCTGTATTCGCTCGAAAAACTTCAAAGAATTGCAAAAACTTTGTCGATGTACACATCCATCTATTTTCACTAAAAAAAATCAGAGAATTGCACAAACTTGGCATTGCGCATTCCCTTGGCTTTCTCCATGTGCAAGTCGATCTATTTTTACTTAGAAAACATTAGAGAATTCCACAAACTCGGCATTGTGCGTTACATTGGCTTTTCCCATGTACACATCCATTTATTTTCACAAAAAAAATCAGAGAATTACACAAACTTAACATTGCGCACTGCCTTGGCTTTGTCCATGTGCAAGTCGATCTATTTTTACTTAGAAAACATTAGAGAATTGCACAAACTTGGCATTGTGTGCTACATTGGCTTTGCCCATGTACACATCGATCTATTTTCACTTTAAAAAAACATCGGAGAATTGCACATACTCGGCATTGTGCACAACCTCGGCATTGCGCACTGGTTGGCTTTGCCCATGCACACATTGATCTATTTTCACTTAAAAAATCAGAGAATTGCACAACCTCGGCATTGTGCACTGCATTGGCTTTGCCCATGTACACATCGATCCATTTTCACTTAAAAAAACATCCCAGAATTGCACAACCTCGGCATTGTGCACCACATTCGCTTTGCCCGTGTGCACATCGATCTATTTTCACTTAAAAAAAAAAAAAAAAAAAAAAAAAACAGAATTGCACAAACTCGGCATTGCACACCACATTAGCTTTGCCCATGTGCACATCGATCTATTTTCACTTCCCAGAGTTGCACAAACTTGGCATCACGCACAACCTTGGCATTGCGCACCACATTGGCTTTGCCCATGTGCACATCAATCTATTTTCACTTCAAAAAACATCCCAGAATTGCACAACCTCGGCATTGCGCACTGCATTTGCTTTGCCCATGTACACACTGATCTATTTTCACTTAAAAAAAACATCAGAGAATTGCACAAACTTGGCATTGCGCACTGCATTGGCTTTGCCCATGTACCTATCGATCTATTTTCAGTTAAAAAACATCAGAGAATTGCACAGCCTCAGCTTTTGTAATCTTCTAGGATCGAGCCAAAAAGAAATACAAAATATTAAAAATAAGCAACTTTAAAACGAACCATACAAGAAAATTTTTTTCACTTACCCTTTTCAAGAAAAATGTAAAATCTTTTTGATGGGTTTTATATATATATATTGAATGTATCTCAGGGGGAAACTCTTTTGGATCCTCTCCTCATCTTTAAATAAATTTACTAACATTTTATACTCCGTTTCCATAATATATGCAGAAAGAAGGCAAAAACCCACAGGGTAAAAAATACTCGATTAAAAAAAGAACCACCACATAAGAACATTCAAACCACAACAGAATTAACTGCTCAAATTAAGAAGTAAAAATTTTTTTTAAAAATTAAAGATTTCAGATTTTATATTACGCCTAAAGGGGCGTTTTTTTAACATTTTGTGTATTAAATTTCTTTATCAAATACAATGTTCTTTACACATAAGCCATAAAATTCAGTTCAACAGCAATATCGCAAAATAATTTTAAAATTAGCCTATCTGTAGAATTTCCGATACACAGTTTTGTGCTTTGCACATAAAAATGTTCCCTCCCCACATTCTGTGTTGCCGTTGTTCGCTTTGAAATCTTTGAGTTTGTTAATCAAAAATTCATTCAAGTTTTATAAAATATCTTTCAGATAATAAAAAGAATTCCAAATTCCAAGTTTGGGCTTCCAGACGCCCATATTAGTTTGGAAACATATGTTATTCAAAATTTGATGGCTCTAGGTACCGTTGTTTTATCACAATGCGAAAAACATTTATGCAGATTTTTCAATATTTAATTTCTTTAAATATAACACAGGGTGATAACATCTAGTGGCAACAAAATAACAACACAGCTTCAAAACATCGGGTTAGCCATGTTAGCACGTTTATTGCCCATTGGAAAACAATTGCCAAGCAGTGGGCTAAACTGCATTTCAACCAATTTTTTTTCTAATATCAAGTGCTGAACCATTTTATCAGAAGGACAAAACTGTATTTATAGTAATTGTTTTATTTGGTTTCCGTTTGGGATTAGTAAAGTTTAAAAATGGATGTAAATTAATTGTATGTTAACATGAAGGAACACTATCAAATGAATTGAACATTATATATTAAAAATATAAATATAATATGGTTTTTCAAAAGGAGGAAAGGTCTGTAAGAAATCTTAAAAACTATATTTTTTTTTAAAGAATAAATTCTTATTGTTGTTGTTATTATATTTGAGCATTTATATATTTAAATGGCCTAAATTTTTCCACTTGATGCAGAAATGATCATCTGTAGTATACTATCTCAAAGCAGAATTAGGATTAATAATTCATTATTTACCAATTCTATTTTATGAATAACTATTTTCAGTGAATTAATTCAAAAACACAAGATATTCTTGTAGATTTAAGTTTGAGCATATAATTTAGAACAAGTTAGTTAATTTTAATTCTAGGAATTCTCTGCATTTCAGAAATGTTTTATTTTATTCACTGTTTATTACATTATTTATCACTAATCATCATCTTACATTGCTTTTTTATGATTAGTATAATGTTGATAATGCAAGCGCGTAATAAAATTTTAATTTGTATATCAATTTTAATTTAATATTTATATTACTGATCTGCATATGTAATGATATAATAAAAGGCAAGATTGATCAGATATTTTTATTCAGGTAAAACTTACAATGTGAAATCTGCTTGTAATAAAATTTAATATTTTAAAATTACTGTTGCATAATTAATTTTGTTTCTAGGAAGCTGACTTCTGGTGGCTCTTTACGCATGAGAAGAACACGCTCTGCTTTTCTCAGAGTAATTTTGCTTCTTTCTTATTTTAAGTGTTCATGATAATATTTACAACAAAATGCTTTTTAGTAACTTATATGAAAATGTATCTTTCATCTGAGATGGGAGAATCTTTCATAATTTGGCTGATGTGTAGCAAAAATACAAGCTAACTTCTCTTGAAAGTCCTCAAATAAAACATCTTTGAAGTGCTTTGTCTTATTAATGAAACAGACATTTTAAATCCTCTCATGCTAATACTTTTTTCAGGTTCCAGTCTGTAGCAAATTTGTTTAGTGCTCAGCTGTTTTAGTCTTTTTCTCATGTGTAACATAAAAGTAGGCAACTTTGCTTAAAAAAAGTACACCAACAAAGTATTCACCTCCTTTCATTTCTTTTTTAATCTACATTATGAAAAGCCTCATAAATTTTGCTTTAGTTGCCTAAGTTTAATTTTTATTTGGTTTTAAGATTGAATATGATAAGTTTTGATTATTTTGTTGCAGAATTCAAAGCACAGTGATCCACTGAGTTCACAGTCTGACAATTCTACAGATTCAAGCTTATATTGTAGTCTTCGCCGAACAAATAAGTCTTTGGGATGGCCTCACAAAAATAGAGGTATGTTATATCTTTCTAAAAACACTATAGTGGAATGTTAATGTGATAATTCATGATTTTAGAATATTATCTCCTTAGGAGATACTCATTTCTGAGAATATGATTAATAGTGATGTCCAGTGTTTATGTTTGTTTATGTTCTTAGAAACATTGCTCAATTTAAAAGAGGTATTTCCTATGAGTAGTTTCATTGTATTTTTTTTTTTTTTTTTTTTTTTTTCCCCCGGAAGATGAAACCAATGCACTTTTCAGTCATGGCCGAGAAAAACTGCTGCTAACTGGAGTGAAAATCAGAATGGGCTTGAACCATAAATGTTTGATTTGATTCATGTCAGGTAAATTTGGAGGGGAAAAAATGACTTGAAATTCCCCAGAATGTTCCTCAAACCACTCCTTGACAATTTGTCCCTTATGACATGGTGCATTATCTTGTTAGTAAATGCCATTACCCGCCAGAATTGCTGTTGTCGTGAAGGGATGCACTTGATCTGCAATGTCAAGGATTGTTTTATGGGAATGATGGGTTCAAATGTGCCTCATGAAAACACCACGCACACCATAATACCACCATTACTAACTGTGCCCCTGAGTGCTAGGATTTCCATTGGAAGTTGCTGAATGCACACTCGCTAGTCAATATATTGACCAGAAAACATGATTCAACGTACCAGGCGACTTTCTTCCATTCTTCTATCATTGTATGCTCATGTTCGTTGGCCCGCTGAAGCACTGTTTGTGATGACATGTCATCAGCACTGGGATACTATTTGGGTGCCACCTACATAGGCCCATATGCAGCAATGTAACACTGCATAGTGTGTTGAAAAAAACTGTCTAAGTCACCACTTTTGTAGTTGCTGGTGATTTCAGTCATTGTAGGCTTTCAGTAATGGCGAACAATGCTTAACAATCTCTCTATCAATGGGCTGTGGTTGTTAAACCACTGGCTGACTGACTTGTCATTTCACCATCCATACACCACTTTTGATAAGTACCCACAACGGCTGCACATGTGCAACCCACCAAATGTGCCATTTCTGAAGTTAGTCATGGTTGCCACGCTACCTGGAGAACCGGGAAAAGTCAGGGAATTCGAAAATTCACCAAAATATTCAGGGAAAGGTCAGGGAATTTAAGTATTTTTTGTCAAAAAAAAAAAAGAAAAAAAAAAAAAAAAAAAAAAAAAAAAAAAAAAAAAAATCTGGAAAAGTCAGGGAAGTTCATACAACGATCCCGCCAAAAAAAAGCGATTTTTGCGCCGACGTTGGAAGAGGTAACTTTTTTGGCGAATTATGTATCACGTGAGTGTCATTCGGGTAGCTGGCATAGAGCCAATTTTCGCAGTTCCAATTTGATTGTCTTTTAGAAAGGCAAAGCAACTTTCCCACAACTTTTGGTTTCCAATATTTCGAGAATCGCATGTGGCAGTGCATGAACTAAAAGTACCTGTTCTCGTATAAAAACAAAATGGGTTTAATCCTAGTATACGGTACCATGGAGGTTAGAATCAAAGAATATGTATTGTAAAGAAGGAAAACCTCTCTGCAACAGACGTGGCTGTGGCTCCGTTCCATCATAGAGGGAAAACAGCTGTGCATGTCTGATATATCTGTCGCCAAAGCTCAAAACCGATGTTGAAGTTCGAAGGTCACGTTATCAAGAGTTCATAAAATGAATATCGTTTAAAATTTCTTTAAGCACTTGCGCTAAAAAGACGTGCCACGCACATCAAGATGCTTTTGTCTCAAACCTCGAGCGACATGAACACCATGTCGATAAGCATTTATCGCAAAAATGAAAATAACGTGGTGCACACGTCGCCTAACAACGAAATTGTTTATTTCTCGAGTTACAGCTCTGGATTGCACTCGCAGATGCGGAGCGGCGTAAATGAGACACTTTACGGCTTGTTATATTGTAGCGCATGGCACCGCAACCGTGAAGTTTAGTCTTAGCGCAAGTGGTTAAACTCTAAAGGAAAAGAAAATATTTTTTGGCGCAAGTAAATTAATTCATGGATTAGTTATTTTCAGGGGAAAAAAAAAAAACTACGAAAATCCGTTTTTAAAATTATTGCGAAAAATCCAAGAAGAAACGTCCTTTGATAAAATGTTTTCTTCTTGGATTTTTCGCAATAATTTAAAACGGATTTTCGTAGTTTTCTTTTTGTCAAAGAGCGTTCTTCTTAACACGTGTTTCTCAATTTCCTGTACACATCGCGGAGAGGGAAATTCTCGCCGCCAGGTTCCGTCGCCAAATTCCTTGGCAAATTTCCCTCCGCATTCTAGCGGCATAATAGCATTTTACTTGTATGGAACCTTTTCTTCTTTACATAGACGTTCTTGGTTAGAATAATAATGGGATTTGGCGACCTCTTGATGCGCAGTAAATGGGTCATTTTGGTCTTGGCGACAATTTTCAAAATCGTGCCAAAGCCTTAACCGTATACTAGAATTTTAACCGCAAAATCTTTTTAAACCTTTTTTCTTTTTAATAGATACCTTGCCATTTTGCAGTAAAATAAAAAATAGTATCAGTCAGTCATCTAGGCTAGCCATGTAAATATAACTATATTCGCTAAAATATCGTTGATTATTTTAATTCAATTTTAAGTAATTATTTTTATGTTATTCATATAATTTAATGTTGCTTCTTCCCTCTAAATTTATTTATTATTAGTAAATAATATTTCCAAATTTCGGGAAATTTTCTCTGGCATAATCCTGAATTAATTATAGCAGTATGATGACATACCATCACGAAATTTAATGCACATATTTTTTCCTTATGTATGCTGCAAAATAAATATAAAATAGCTCAATTTATTAAATAGATTTCTTTCTTTCGTTTAGCTGCAGAATGTCTGCAAAAAAGCCTTATTTTGTATTCCAGATTGGGAAGATTCTAATCTCAATCTTCAGTGAAGAAAACAACAACTATTTTAATTATATTTGTGTTAAGTGTTAAGGTGCCTTTTAAGAACATACCTCACGCAAATTAAATTTACCTAAAATCTAACCTAACTATTTAGCATTGCGTTGTGATTTATAAGGACCGGATTAGCCTCGTGTTGAACTGGTGATGATCATGAGTAATAATTAAATAAAACATACATTTGTTATCCAATATATATATCTTAAATTTTATTAAGTTTCTTAAGTGGAAAACTAAACAAAATTATCAAACAAAGTATACCAAGAATAATTAAGAATAAATGTCCTCTGGGAGTTATTGAATAATTAAGTGAATTTGCTACACAATACAAGTAATACCATAATTAATTTACCTCTTAGCACAGCCAACATACATTACGAGGATAGACTGGAATTTTCTTGAAACACACCTGGAAAACCTGGAAAAGTCAGGGAATTTCATTCTCCTGTTTGAGTGGCAACCCTGGTCAGTGTTCTGAGGCATTGAGCCATAATGATTTGACCCTGATAAATCAGCTGCTTTGCTATATTAATTCGCTAAATATTCTACATGTGAAGTGCATGTGCGCTTTATATACTCCAGTATCAGCCATACATACGCCTGTGGTTTTGTCTTCGAGTTAGCTCATTGCTCTAGGTGAGGGTTGGTCATAATGTAATGGCTCTTTGGTGTATGTATACTATATATATACTATATGTGTGTGTAAACTTTTCTTAGATAAGGGTTGTGAAAGCATTTTAAGTCATGAGCCATTTCACTTGTGGAAATCTGTTATGAATAAATTTTTTCAAGTGTGCATTAGGTGGAAACAGTAAATGAGCATATACTGTAAGTGGGCAGACCAAGTAAAATTAATAAGAAAAATGACAAAAATTAGGAGCAAGAATTTTGCAATTCAAATGCAGATGTCATTTCATAGAGTTTAAACATTATTGCCAAAACTTCATTAATTACATTGGATCAATTTCTAATATTTAGTGGTAATTTCTATAAAGTGGTTTGTACTCTTCAGAGTAGTTTCATGGATTACATTTTCAAAGTTGTTGTGCAGTAGTATAAATAAAAGAAAAACTATGGGGAGAATTTTTTGTTGTATTGTAAGCATTTTGTACTGAAGTTTTTTAAACTTTTTTTGTTTGTTTGTTTGCTATTTATAAATGCTGAATGTTTAAAATCTGTGAAACGCTTGATCAAAGTCAGTTTAATTACAAAAAACTAATCAATTAAATAAATCAATTTAAACTAATCAATTAAATTCATTTTGAAAAATATTAAATGCATTAACTATAAAATTAGTAGCATTGCTTATAAATTAATTAAAGTTCCCCCCCCTTTTAAGTTTACATGAGCACATGTATATGAAAAATTCTCTTATGTAATTTTTTTTAAATTATAGCCAGTATGACATAAGTAATACTGCTTATAAATTAAATAAAGGTTTTCCCCCTTTCTTTTCTTTTATATTTACATAAGCACATATATATGAAAAATTCTCTTATGTTAATTTGTTAAAATTGTAGCCAGTATTACGTCTGCTGATATTCTAAATCACAATTTCTTTTAGGAATATCTCTGTGGCTTCCATCTATTATAGTAAGCCATTTGAGGGTTTTTTTTTGGGGGGGGGAGTCTGTTTCATGTCAGACTGGTTTTGATAATTCTGTGCTACTTATCTTTTCTTAGTGTAGCTAATTTTATATTAATTTTCTACTGGAAATTAAAATTTGCAAATATTTCTATATAAAATGCTGATTGAGTACTTGTGAAATTTGGTTTAGGTGGTAAGCAAGTACAAATATAAATTGTGTTCTGTTGCTTTATTTTTGCAATATTTAAAGAAATTATAATTCTGATTTTATTTGCATATTAATTTTACTGTCCTACAGACATATACAAAAAGCTGAAGTAATTTGAATATGGGTACTTCCTTATAACAGTGGTCTCCAAAATTTAATCACTAATCAACTAAAAATTTGTTTGCAGATAGTACAGAATGGCAGTTTCAAAGCTCTTGAGCTATTTTATATGTTTGTAAAAATCTTGATATTTATCTTCCTGTTATTATTAGACATATCCCAGTAGGTTCTGATTAAATTTTGATAAGAAAAAGTACGATTTTATGTTTAATTATGATGAATTTCCTTTTGGTATTTTCTGTTATCTGGACCGGATTCAGGAATGTATGTATGTATGCACATGTGTATGTGTCTATATGCATATATTTACATACTTATCTACATACATATATACATGCAAACATGAACAAATACATCCATATATACATGCATACATTTCTGAACCCGGTCGCAATAATAGAAGAGTACCTTCCTTTTTCATGAACAAAGCCAAGTAAGTAGTAATTGATGTAAGTATAGGTAGCTGACTCTTAAGTAATTCAAACTCATAGATGTAACATGTAGTGAGCTGTAAAAAACATACGCTGAGATTTCGGCAGGATATCTCGGTTAGAGATTCAATCGCGAGGGTTGCTATATTATTAAGGAAGTACCTGAATTATGTTATCATTTTAACAAAATTTGCATAAAATGTGTTACAGCTTACATCCATAAAAAATCTACCTTAAGGGAAAAGAATATCTAATATTCATAAACTCGGAGAAAATAAATATTTGATTTTTAGCTACATCATTAGCCATTTTAGCATTTTTTTTTATTATTATTATAATTATTTTGAAATATTCATTGTGAGTTTTTTTTTTTTTTTTTTTTTTTTTTTTTTTTTTTTTTGTGCAAATATTTTGCCCCCCCTTTTTTTCTCATATGAAAGGAATATTTTTTGGATATCTGTATTTATTTTAACTATTTTATTTCTCATTTTAATTGTGGTTAAGGTAACAATTTTTTTGTATGTGAAACCCCTGTCAGATTGGTTTGTTAATATTTAAAATAGTTTGTTAATATTTTTTTTAAATTCTTTTTGCTTTATTATCTCATACGTTCAGTGTTTTGTAATTCTACAGGAAGTTTATTAAATCCAGAAGATTCTTGCCAAGAGGATCACATACCCGTGAGAGATGTTGGTCTTGCTATTCAAAAAGATGGAAATATTGAACAAAATACTTTCATTCCATCAGACAAAGGAGATCTGGTGAGTAAAGTTACTATTTACTTATGTATCATCTAATATGTGAACACAGAGGTCAGAAAAAAAAAATTTGTTTGCAGATAGTACAGAATGGCAGTTTAAAAGCTCTTGAGCTATTTTATATGTTATTAAAAATCTTGATATTTATCTTCCTGTTATTATTAGACATATCCCAGTAGGTTCTGATTAAATTTTGATAAGAAAAAGTACGATTTTATGTTTAATTATGTGAATTTCCTTTTGGATTTGTTTATCGGACCGGATCAGAATGTATGTATGATGGATGTGTATTGCATAATTACATATTATCTACATACATATATACATGCAAACATGAAACAAATACATCCATATAACTGCATACATTTTGAAGGTCGCAATAATAGAAGAGTACCTTCCTTTTTCATGAACAAAGCCAAGTAAGTAGTAATTGATGTAAGTATAGGTAGCTGACTCTTAAGTAATTCAAACTCATAGATGCTAGCATAATTAATTGTTCTAGTAATCAAACCATCAAAAATATTCCAGAAAATCAGCTTTAGAATGGATAAAAAGTAGACTGGAAAACCAAAAATTAAAAAAATTCAATTATTTTTTTAATTTAGCATTACATCTGCAAAAAGTTGGATGAATATATGCATTGCTGTGATAAGATCTTATCAGTAGTATTCCTATTAATTTTCGATATTTTAACTAGTGTTTCACTTTATAATAGATATTTGAATTCCTTACTGTATTAAAGCTGCATAAGCACTAAAGTACACAAACGCTCAGTCAAATGCAATTTTTTTTTTTTTTTTTTTTTTTTTTGGTTGTTGTTGTTGTTGACATGTAACAGGATTCAGAAGCACAGACTGATACTTCATAAAATTCTTTTCACTTGTTGCACATTTCATAAATAGCTTTAATGATTTCTTTGTTATTTAGTTATCAAGAGGCTTCCAAATTATTGTCAAATGAGGTATAAACTGCTAAAGTTACATTTTTATGTCCCCCCCTCACCAAAAAAAAATTGAGATTTTTTACTTTTCGTACTCCTATTATCCTTGGAAGGGTGTCTGAATTTGTCATAGCAAAAGCATTTTAAAAGAATAAAAGCTCCTTTTATGGATTTTATGTGACCATGGGCTAGCCTGTTTTGTAATAAGAAGTGGCTAATCAAGTATAAAGTAAATAAAAAGTCATGTACATTAAAAAAAGAATGAAAAGAAAAATAAATCTCAATATTGTTTGAACTGCCCAAAGTTAAAAGCAAGTATTTAAAATTTATAAGATTTAATTACTTCTTAAATGAGGTTTTGGGAGGCTTGAGCTTTTATTAAATTTATCAAATTTCACATTAACCTGAGTTAACTGTAGTATATTATTTCAAATGCATACTTTTGTGTATTTGTATTGAAAATGCATTTTTATTGCATTTATATCTAATAATTTGTTTTTAGCACAAATATTGTTGAGTTTCTACTGGTTTGTGGATTTGACATGATTAAGACAACACTTAATGAAAAATGAAAACTCAATTTATTAGCCAATATTACTCAGGACAGCTTGAAAAAACTACGACAAGCATGCTGAAACAACCAGCAGCACAGCCTTCAGGCTATTATAACAGTGAAGGCAGCTTCATGGCAAAGTTCTAGAGTACAGCTCCCGACTCGGTTCATCGTTTGTGCAACTCATCATACTCTCGAGACTCTCCACGCTACATTTTGTGATGCATTCGGCGATACATTAATGCTGGACACTTTCAATGCACTGCCGATAAACTCTCATGATGCACTAACTTGCAATACACTGACAATACACTCTCGCGATGCATTCAATGACCAACTCGACACTAGATTGCTACTCCATGTACTGGCAGGCTTTATATAGCTTTTGGCCTGTCTTCGAGAACATTCTGGGCCAAACTGTTAAGAATTCGTTTAGGAATTTTCTCTATCCGTCTATGACATATTGCCAAATGAGAGATTTCATGCCAAATCTGGCAACCTAAACCTGCCTTGCAGGCAAGCTATCTTACCACAGCTGGACATTTCGTAACACTGCTCCCTCCCAAGGACTGCATGTCCTGGGCAGTACAATCCTTGTTAAGAAGCCATATTCGATACAAGCAAATAGCATAAAATAGCTAGAGAAACAAATATTTACACTATGTACAAATTATATACACAAATTACAGCTCATAACAATTTTAAATTATATAAATTAAAATTCAGAATGAATTTCAATCTCAGGCTTTTAAATAAGTTATACCCGGGTCAAATACTTTTTCACTGCAGTTCTCAGATGTATTTCTGTTTTGCATACAACAGTCTCACAGGAAGATCTGAAACAGTTTGTTCATTCTTCTGTAGTTTATTCGCATCATGTGTATTATTCATCTCCGTTGGTACATGCTTATTTTCCTCTATTTTCTGAAAACCAGTTCCGATCTTTGCAGTTATGAACAGAATTCGATTCTTTATGAACAGAAGCATCCTGGTTCAAAATCAAGTTGGTGTCTTTACAACTTCCATTGCGAGACACACACTTAGTTTGAGAAATGATTATATTTTCTTGCAATGCTGAAACACTCCTTAAGATGTATATCAGCTTCTCTCATCTCTGCATCACGTGAATTTTCAGATGGTTCAATACTTGCTAATTGCAACTTCGTAACTTCACTATCAGTTTCTACTAACTTTACAGTCACATTTTCACTTTCTTCCACCACTTCTTCAGACATTTGAGAATCAAATGCTTATTTTTCATCTTTTATTTTTTCATGTTTTCATTCTTTTCTTTAATCCTGTTAGGCATTTCATTTATCATTTCTTTATCTTTTTCAGACACGTCACCACCAACTTCCTTTATTTTTTCATCCTTTGATTCTTCAAATGCCACTTCAATCAGTTCCACATCTTTTTTTATTGCTCCAGTTTCTTCTGTAAGCTCCACTTTCATCTGTTGGAGATGCTCTCACAGTCTTTCTCGGCCGACTTTTATTTCTTCTTGTTCGGCTTTTATCGCTTCTCGTCCAGCTTTCATCTCAGTCCTCATCACTTCATATCCAGCTTTTATTTCATCATATCTGGCTTTTATCTGATACCTCATCTCTTCACATCCAGCTTTCATCTCTTCTAGTCCGGCTTTTCCAGCTGCTAAGAAGTCCATGAAGTTCATTTCCTCCACCATGGCTTTCTCCTGCATGTGAGCACATCTCTGGCATTTCCTCGCAAATCCTACTTCTGACACCATTTGTTGTGTTTCTATGGGTTCGTGGATTTGGAGTAATTAACGACAACACTTGAAGAATGAAAACACAATTTATTAGCTAGTATTTCTCAGGACAGCTCCAAAAACATGCTTACAGTCATCAAAAACTACGACAAACATGCTGAAACAATCAGCAGCACAGCCTTCAGGCTATTATAATGGTGAAGACAGCTCTTCGGCAAAGCACTAGGGTATAACTCCTGACTCAGTTCAGTCATTCTCGCAACTCAGCATACTCTTGAGACTCTACGCTACAACTCATGATGCACCCGACGATACACTCGGTAACCTCATCGATGCATAGCTGATAAACTCTCGTGATGCACTAACTTGCGATACACTGACGAGACACTCTTGTGATGCACTAACTCGCAACACTTGACAACCAACTTGACACTAGACTGCTACTCCGCGCACAAGCAGGGTTTATATAGTTTTTTGCCTGCCTTCGAGGACAATCTGGGCCAAACCAGTAAGAATCCATTCCAGAATGTTCTCCATCTTATAATGACATATCGCCAATTTTGTTGCCAAGTAGGGGATTTCGTGCCAAATCAGGCAACAATCTTTCAGATGTGCCTTCCCTTGTCATTTTCTGGCAACCCGGCGGCCTTATGGGGAAGCTATCTTACTGCAGCTGGACATTTCGTAAAAATATTTTATAGTTTCAAATAGTGATTGAGATGAAAATTCTTTTATTAAGATCATTGGGGAAAACTGCATTTCATACACATTTTTTTTTCCTATTATAATTTTGTTTCTTATAATTTATATAGATGTGATGCTTCATATTATAATGATATAAAGAAGATTTATAGCACCACTTCTCGATACGGATTATTACACATTGCTAAGAAATTTAATAGCAAACAAATTTTAAACAAAACTGTTCCTAGTATTTAAAACTAAATGCATATGTATTAAATTGAACATTGTGTGAATATATATATTCAAACAAATTTTAAACAAAACTGTTCCTAGTATTTAAAACTAAATGCATATGTATTAAATTGAACATTGTGTGAATATATATATTCATTTTTATTTCAAACTGTCTTTTTAATTCAAAATTAGAAAAAAAAATTTTTTACTAAAAAATGTACATGAATAGTTTAATCCTGGATCTGTGTATGGATCAAGAGAAAACAAAAATTAAATGCATGTATAATTTATTGATGATAAAAAAATCAATTTATTTTCTAATGATATTATAATATATAAATTTTGTAGTTAAAAAATATTTTGTTGTGCCAGTTTGGAATTCATTTTTGAAAATTTATTAAAACAATAATATTTTTAGTATAATTTCTATTACTTGAAAAAATTAAGGTATATATGCAATATTTCTGGGAACATAGAATAATAATCAGCTTGTAGTCATAGTGCCTGGGAATGTAAGGCGGTATCCAAATGACGACGGAGAAGAAGTTAGCTGTTTTGATTCCACATCTTTATTCAATTCAAATGGCAAATCATTATTCTTTTAGATTCTCCTAGATTACGTATGCAATAGTAATTTAAACAAAATAGGATTGACTTAAAATTTACTGCGTCTTACTGTTCGAATAAAGAGAGGTAGATGGGAAGAACGGGAGCAAAGATTTGATAACAGCAGGAGTAGAAAAGCAGCCTGACGAAAAATGGCACAAACTCTGCATTTATAGTAGCAGTTATATAACATGCCAGAGTGTTCTCGAAAGTACTGATCTAGAGGGAAGATCCTGAAATTGTGGAAAGTTAATTAGAGGTTGCCTGTTCACGTAGAGCTAAGCCATCGTATTTTTTATATTTTACATATATAAGTTGCTACCATTTCAAGAAAGCTATGTACAAAATTGCTCCTGGCATTTTTTTTCTCTGTGAGTATATAAATGGAGTGTATAAGGCAGCACAAAAATGCATTCAAGTTAAACACATCCATTTGTTACAATAACTGTGAATGAGCCCTTTCAGATGTGTCTTCTAATCTGAGTATACCTTTCCTAAAGTTCACTTTTCATTTTATTAGGTTCTTCAGTAGCATTGGTGCAAGAATAGGGTTAAAATTATTAGTTCATAATTTCCATGATGTTAATATAGATGTGTTGTAAAATTATTCCTATTCAAGGTGTTGTTCAGTGTTGAATCGCAACAGAATCCACTATAGCTAACATCAGGTTGCAAGAATCTTTAAACAAGAATCTTAAAGATGATCTTAAATAAAATCTTAAAACAAGAATCTCCTGAATATCAGGTTGCAAAAATCTTAAAGATGCACTCTGTGAACTATCATTTATATGTATTTGAATAAGGAAAGCAAGCTCTTGGACTAAGACAATCTGTCCATAGCAGTCAGCTTGTAGAAGTCGCCTTCTCTGCTGTCTTTCAGTTCATTAACATTTCATTAAGTTAATGAAATGTCAAATTATGAATCAAGTCAAATTAGATGCTAGGCAGTTCAGATGAATCAAGGGTGTCATATTCAATGTTGTCATTTCTGTTTAGGTTATAATTGTTAGAGAAAAACTTGTTTAATCTTTGAGATTACCTTAGATTAGCATCACGTTCACAGATTAATTACAGTTTAATCTTTTAGATATCTTTTTCTACTAGAGAAAAATTCATTAAAATATCTATTAAATTAATGCATTTGATGTAATGTAAATTTGAGAATATTCAAGTGTTTACAAATAAATCTATTATCATTTCTTTCTTTTTTAGATAAAGTCAGATCTTGTAAACGAAACTGGCCAACAGCAGCACACAACATTAGAAAATAACATGACTCTGAACTTCATTACCAATCTGACCAATCCAGATGGGCTAGGCTGTGCTCCTGGTCACACGTTTTCCAGGAGTGCTTCTTCCCAACAAATTTCACCATTCAGCACAGCTCGAAGCCGAACCACAAACAACTTATTCCAACCATTGTCTTACATGTCCCCTTCAAATGATGTTTTGCGTTGTTCTCAGGTGGCCAATAAACCAGCACGTCCCTTGTCAGCATTTTGTTCTGATACAAACAGTAATATCGATACAATTGAGGCTTCCAAATTTTCTAGGACTAAAACTGAAAAAAGTAATGAACCAAATAGTTCTCGTAACATGACAAAGGAAAAGTCACTTGAAAATTCAGTGTGGTATGAATATGGCTGTGTTTAACCTTGACAGAAAGTATAGTTAAAATTTGTTTTGTGTTCATCCATGCACACTGAATTTTTTTTAAATTTGTATTAATATATATTTTTTAAATTGTTAAAATGAGCGAGTGAAAAAAAAAAAAAAAAAAAAAAAAAACATTGCTTCTTTTTGTTTTTGAAATCTATGAATTGTGTTTCTTGACTTTTCTGTCAGTCTTGAGTGTTATGCAAAATATTTTTAATTCTAAGAAGTTTGTTTATTGTTAAAGAAAATCGTGAATTTGCAAGTGTTACTTAATTTTTAGCATATATTGCATAGCTTGTTTAATTTTTTTTTTTTTTTTTTTTACTGTTTTTACACAGAATGTATGATTTATCAAGTTATATCCAAGGATAATTTTTGGGCTCTTATTTTTTATCATTTGATAGAAGATATTGCAGAAGACAGAATAGGTTTTTATATAATCATAAGTATTACTAGAAAGGAATTTTATATGCAAAATATATGACATAAGAAAATTCTTAGACTAGAAGAGAATTTGATTGTGATACATACTTATAATATGCATACATGTATTCTAAAATACAGTGAAAAATTTTTAAACTATTAAAAAAATAAATCTAAACATGACATGACAAAATTTAAGCTACATTAATAGCTATCTAAAAAAGCTTTTTAACATCAAAGCTTGAATTTCAGAATCAAATTTAATTAAACAAATAAATGGCAATCACAGTAGGCTCATAAAGACAAATTTGACATATAGAGAAATTTTTTTAAGCGAGTGCTGTAAGTATGAATGAAATCTTCAGATTGGATTCAGTGAAGGAATGCTATAACAAAGGCATGAAACTGTAAAATTTGATGTTCATATAAATGATATGAACATAGCTTAGTGAGTTTTAAATTAGGTTGCATAGATTACGTGTTCACAGTTTCAGTTTCTTTTGCTACTAGAAACTGATTTTATTACTCAATGATTACATGAAATATTTTTAATTTGAAATATTGTATCATTTTAGAAGGCCTAAATTTGACTTGTAAAAATAGTCTATATATTGATTATATAATATATATATATTATATGTACCTACATTTTTAAACTTTCTGTCTGTGAAAATCTGTATTTTGCCTAAGTCCAGATTAAACAGCTTTAGAAATTATCAATTTGCTATCTTGCAAATGAATATCAAGAAACTTAGTAAAAATGAAAATTTATATAATCAAATAATAGCATTTAATTCTGCCCAAATTAACTTTAGGGTTATACTTTCTGCAGACTTGTGCCTTTCCAAAAATTATTGTATTCAAAATTATTTGAAAATGTGTTACAAATTTTAAAAAAAATGATAAAAAGTATATTCTTACTTAAAAATTTGAATAACTTGATAAAACATTGAATTGACTTTTTCAAGAAATATGTAATTTTTCCAATTTGCAATTCTTATTTTATCGAGTTTTTGAATTTATTTCTTTAGATACTGTGAATAACTCACATTAATTTAATTAACTTTCATTATTTTTTTATTAAATTTAAAAAATTGATTTTTGTTCTTTTATGAGATTTTAAATAATGTTTTAATTTGGAGCAGTTTTACTTATTCAAGCTCAAAAGAATTTACTCTTCAGTTTTTACCATATTTTAACACTTTGTTAAATCTCCTGTTTCACTAATTATAAGTGACCTGCTGGCCAGGCTGTAATTAAATATGTGTAATATAGCTGTCAATGTAAAATAATTTTGCTTTCTATTAAAAATATTTTTTGAATTTAACATGTTCTTTTATAATGTATCATATTAATTTCCCCTTCAAAATGTATTTTGTGTACTCTGAATGTTCACCTTGATTGCACTAATGTTGACTTCACTAAAATTTCTTAAATTAGAATAGATAAAGTGGTTTGAATGTGATTGATGTCATTTTAAGATTTCAAAGAACTGTTATGAATTAACCTTTTCAGCTCATAATTGTTAGATGTGTAGAAGCTATTATATCTAAAAGCTACAGAAATTATATGAAATTTAACGTGTGTGTGCCTACTTGATGGTGCTATTCAACATCCGTGCAAGATATTAATTCTTACCTAGTATAAGTAGCAATGAATTTTTTTTTTTTTTTTTTTTTTTGTTAATAATATAAACTTTGAGAAGTATAATAAAAATAAATAATCCTATATAGAAAGGGCAGTATTGCATCTGAATCACACATTGTTGTAAATAATACAAATCCAAAACTAAAATGTATGAACATAACATTAAAGAAAGCTTTTCCCCCTTTTCATTAAGTTATTCTATTACATAATTAAGAACGACTGAAATCTTTCAAAATATAGTTTTAGATATATTTTCCATTTGCTAATATAATTCACATAATCCTTATTTTCAGAGTAGATGTGTAACAATTATCAAATAATCAATTACTATTGCAAATAAATGTAATCAATTTTGTTATTTTCCTGAATAAGAGAAACTGAGATTGTATTTTTAGTGTATATTTTTTAGATATGGACAAATGATTAGTTATACTACACATTTTTTTCATGCATGTTGTGTAATGTAATATTTTAGTTTATATCACAATTAAAAATCTTATTAGGTACTGTATGTATTTACTAATAATAAATATTTAAGTGTCGTGTCACTTAAAAACAAATATTGTGTTGTTGGACTAGATCTTGCGTATTTATGTGCAAATGAAAGTGCAACGTTTCGGTGATATTTCTTTACTGCCATTTCTCAATTCAAAACATATTTAATAACAGTCATGTGATGCTTTATATACTTGATTTTTAAATCCCACATGTGGTGTAAAGATAAATTAATGTGGCATTATATGCTGATTTCTGCTATATATTGTTAAAAAAAAATAGCTTTATACCATAAGAATATTTTATTCTTTAAAGTTTATAATTGCAGCAATATTCCATATTTGTAGTTTTATCAAAGTTTTTTTATTTAAATTGTAATATTTTAATTTGAATTAGTTAAAATGAAATATGAGTAGAACCATCATATATATTTCTTTGAATTCAAACAGCATATATTATAAATTTTCATTGACTTGCCACACAGCATGGTTGCCATACATGAAAGCATAATTTTATTCCCAGCCATTTAAATGTAGCTCATTAGTACTCTTATTAAAGTAATGCATTATATTATCTTAATAAATAATTAATTTATGAAATAATTGGATTGGGTATTTGCTTAAATATGTGCAGCATGTGTAATCTGCTTGTTTAAAAAATTACAGTAATTGAAGAAAGAAGCTGTACGTAAATTTCATGAAAACAGTTATATAACATGAAAAGTATAATCCTTTGCCATTAAAAAACTAATTCAAGTTTTATATTAAACAAGTCTAGGGCTTTATTTATAATTTGTAATATATATATATTTTAAGGCAATATTTATAAATATTAGAGAATGTTTGTTTTTAAGTTTTTAGAGGCAGGTATATGTAAAAACATTCTTGATGAAATTTATACATAATGTTTTTGCAGTTTCCTAAATGAAGTCTTTCAGAGTAATTACATTTTTTTAAATCAAAATGCAAGTTGTAAATATTTGAATAACTTTAATTAATGGCACATTTTAAAATTCAAGCACAAAATTAAATACTTTGCACCTTATATTGTTGAACCATCAAAACCTTATATGCATTTTATGAACTTTTCATTACTACAATCAGTAGTTTCAAAATATTTTGAATTGTAACATTTGTATAGTAATAAGATTATGCGCCATGTGAATGTGATTTTTTTTTTTAAATTTTAAATGTTTGTTTATTCAGAATTTATATTTCTTAAACATCATGTTTAGAGTGAAGATTGTATAGTTTAATACATTAGATACTGTGATTGTGATTTGTATAAAAACTGTGCTTTCATTTTAAATGTTTACATTAAATGTTCCATAATCATTTAATGTTTTTGCTAGAGAAATAATAATTTATATCTTCCATTCACTCAGGTAGAATGAAATATATATATATAAATAAAAATTGTGTGGCTATTATTTGTATTAGGAATATTTGAATGTATTATGTCAAAATAAAATTTTGATCTCGGACAGACATGTAGATTTCTGGACTTTTAATTCAAATTCACTTTTGCTTCGGATTTGTTTTTATTTTCTATATAAGAAGTAGGGATATGGATTTATTTTTGTGCAAATCTGCCTAAAATCCACTTTGACCATTTTTTAATGATACAATATTTCAAGCCTCACTGCTTGGACTTAAAAAATACTAGAAAATTACAATAAGGGCAGTAAATCTGCATATTCATCTAAATTGGGTATAAATTATTTAGTTCAGTAGCTCCCAAAGTAAGGGGCAGAAGACAATTTTTGATAGGTAAAAATACATTTTTACTCTGTTTATTTTGTTATATGGTATAAATTCTGAAATTTGAACTCGTTGGGACTTGAGATTCAGGATTAGGGATTTTTTCAGATATTAATTAAATCAATTTAAATCTAATCAGATAACATGTAAAAAATATGAAATAATGAATTATTTATGACCTTAAGGAGTCAAAATTTTTGTTTAATTCGCTTCATTTTTTGCGTTAATACTTTCTGTTTAATTCTATAAAAAGATATGATTTCTTGTTCAACTATGAAGTTCCACTATATAAGCCCTGCAAATTTCTACTAAATTGTCAGTCGAATTTTTTTTTTTTTTTTTTTTTAATCTTAATGACCTCTCTATCACTTTCTTCACAGTAGATAGTGCTATTTTAAAAATTTAGAATCATACTACAGATTTTGCCATCTGTTAAATTGATTGATGATCTGGGCATTTTCAATGCAGTAAAAATTTAGCATCTTTGTTTATTACCCCTCCTCCACATTTTTTCAAAAATTCCATTAACTGGCAATGTTTGCTTTTTGTTTGTAATATCTAAACACCTGAAATTTGCAGCAATCGTCATAAAGCTTTGAGCATCTGCTGTACACTATTGGCAATATATCATGAAATTAATTACAAAAGACATGCTGTTCAGCTAAATGTTATCTTGCTTCTGTTGCAAACTAACGATATTAAGCCTGAATTATATTAATTATTTATTGTACTTGCACCTATTTCTCACACATTCTTAAGGCTTAGGCAAGCCCTGAATAAATAAATTCCCACATATACTTAAGGCTTATCCAAGGCTGGACTAGACATTATACAGCCTAGTGCAGTTTCTGCAAGTCCAAAATTCTGCTGTGAAGCACCTCCCTAAAAGTTTTGCATACCAGTGTCTACCCTAAATTTTAAATATTTTGCCATACTTTAATTTTGCTGCCTGATGCTTCTCTAAATTCTAAAAATTTCGCCTCCTCTAAAATCAGGTGCCTGCTGCAGCCACACTAGTTTCGACGCCGATCCTGAGCTTATCTGAATAACAAGTTATTTTTTTTTTTTTTTTTTTTTTTTTTTTTGCACATATATGAAGAAATTTCTTCTCCTCAACAATTCTGAGCAGGTTAGCTGAAATCTGTAATCATTGTGAAGTGTAATGTCAACATAAAAGGTTCCTTCTTTTACTAATATTAAAATTAAAAAAAAAAAAGTTTTGACTGTGGTGCGCAAGTCATTTCTCAAACCTACAATATGTTGATAGTTATGTAGTGATGAAAGCAAAAAATACAAGGTCCGGCTATTAATTTCCAGGACTTGTGGAATAACTTGGAAGAAGAAAAGGTTAAACACATAGCCATTTTATGATTCAAAGTAATCCCCATCAGCCATAATGCACGTCTGTGCTCAGCTGTACAAATTTCGGAAAGAAGTTTTAAAGTCCTCTTTTGGAATGCTCTTTAATAGTGATGTTACAGTTCTCTTGATGGCTTTGACATTCTGAAATCTTGTTCCCTTCAGCGAATTTTTCAGCTCAAGAAAAAGTCTGCGGGTGCTAGGTCTGGAGAGTATGGTGGATGCTGCATTTCAACGACACCATGCTGGGCTAAGAATCGCCTCACAGGCAACGCAATGTGTGGGCAGGCATTCTCATGTAGCAGCAGCCAACTCCCAATTTGTTGAAAATGAGGCCTCACTCTACGAATTCGTTTTTGAAGTCGGTCAAGAACTTCTGTGTAGAACTGCCCATTGATAGTCATGTTAGGAGGAAGAAATTCATGATGAATGATTCCATTGCAATCGAAGAAAGCAATTAACTTGATTTTGGACTTTTCAAATCGAAATTTTTTCTGCCTTGGTGAACTTGGAGACCGCCATTCGGAGCTTTGACGCTTGGTTTCGGGGTCATATTGATAACAAAAAGACTCGTCTCCCGTGATTATCCTATCCAGGAACGCAGGGTCAGCATCAATGTGTTTGATAAGTTCACCACATGCGTCCAGTCTTAATTGCTTTTGTTCGACGCCTAAATGAATCTGGAACAAATATTCCGTTTGCCTAGGTCTTGCGTCAATATTCGCCGAACTGTCTCTTTGTCCATGTTGAATTCATTGGCAAGTACTCGAATAGTCAATCGACAATCACATTTCACCATATCGCAACCTTTTTCAGTTGCTTCCGGCATGTGTACGGACGGCGGCCAACCTGTGTGTGGATCATCTTCGACGCTTTCGCGCCCGTCCTGAAAGCGTTTTAACTATCCAAAGTTATTGAGCGAGATAATGCTTCCTCGCCGTAAACTTGTTTTAACATTTCGTAAGTTTCCGCAGCTGTATTGCCCAATTTGAAAATGTTAATTCTTTGCTCCATTTTCACTTTGACAATAGGAATTTAAGAGCTATGTTTTAATGCGCCTTTCCATGGGAACCACTTACTTCAGAATGGCGCCAATTGCACTGCACATGCGTAAGAAAACGCTCTTCAATATGCAATCATTAGCGCCATCTTCCGACTTTTTCGTTCTCCTACAGTTACGTCAGTCCTGGAAATTAATAGCCAGACCTTGTAACAATGATTTAGAAGGTTGGTATCAGTGAAGTGAATTATAAATTGAGACTGTACACATGGTTTAGTTTGAAAAAATATCAAATGAGCAAACATAAAGCATAAAAGAAATTTCTTAAAAAAAAAAGATTGCTGGTGATCCAGAGGTCGGGACTTCAGATCATTCTGAATTTCAGATTTTGTGCTGCAGTATATATTATTTTTAATTACCAACTGTTAATAGTTACATATATTTATTTCATTACTTTCTTCTGTGAAATTTTCTTTAAAAGTTTTTTGTGAAGGTATAACAAAATATATCATTAAATCTGACTGTGTAACTTATGCAGTCACACAACCAGGCATATTTATTATGAATGAAACATATTTCACTTTTACATTTAAAAAGTATTACATTTGTCACTACATTGGTATTTTTTTGATTGGATCTGGCTGGAAAAAGTAACTTTGAAACATGAAATTACCTTTTAATATGCTTGTTACAACACTTTATTAGCTGAAGAGTTATGGCTTGCAACAGCATAATTGTTTTCAAGTGCTCGAGCTCTTGGCTCCCCCCCTCGAAAAAAAATTCTCTATTTAAAGCATAAGAATTTCTACATTCATGCAAATTTATGCTCTAGTAATCTATTTAAATATCATTGATGCCAATGATGAATTTATTTAAAATATGTATTTTATATTGGATAAATTTTTTAAATAAAAATCGTCATTTAACGTTCAAGTACAAAAAAAAAAAAAAAAATAATGTGATGGTGACAAATCAAACCCACCTGGCATATGCTGTTTGCATTTCTAATACAAAATTTTTCCAATATGAAGAAATTATTTTTGTTTTATCTTTGAACTGGTTCCATCTTTATATATAAATACTATTGCGTGGGTACGGGTTCGTTATGAATTGAATGCACATGTCCGATGAAAAATGAATAAAATTTATTATTATCGCAACAAATAAATCAAAAATTTTTAAATTTCCTCAGATATTCATACAATATCCCAATACCTCACAGCAGTTATCTTTTAAACTACTAAGAACGTTCAATAGAACTAATTCAAAACAGAAATGTAGAGAAAGCTAATCCGATTTCACCACGAATTCGCTGCAGTAAACAACAGTTTTTTAAACTAAACTGAGCTGAGGTGTTCTTTCTCTGGCTTTTATAGCTTTTTAAATCAGCCGTACGAGATTGTTCTAGCAATTTCTCGAAATCAAAAAGAGATATTTATTCATTAAATATTAAATGCACGTGCTATTGTATTTTTAATTTTCCGGCTTAGCTTTCTCCGTCACGTGCTGAACTGCATGGGGAATAAAGCAATTTAATTTATATTTCTACTAACATTAGCTATTTAAATACCAAATTCGTAACATTGCTCCATTTCCAAGGACTGCACGTCCCGAGCAATACAGTCCCCGGACAAGAAGCCAAACTTGCAACTAAGGCATAAATGCAATAATAAACATTACATTACAATAAAAAACAACATGAACAATAAATGCAAAAACTAACTTAAATCAAATACTAAATACAAGTCAAATCAAATGCACATTTAGGAAAAAAAAGGACCATGGTCTTACACTATTTACAATTATTTACACTACATACTATGGCCATAGAAACGAGCTATCCTGTAGTAATGAACAACTTTAGAGTTCAATGACTTAACAGATCCAAACCATGAAGTCATTCAGCCTGAGGACTGTGTACAGACCATCCCACAAGGTGACAGTAATTTCGGACAGAGTCCTTTCCATTGAGTCGGATTCCACAACCACACCTTGTCTCCTTCGTGGAATTGATGTCCAGTAGCTCTCGTGTTGTATCAGGTCTTCACCTTTTCCGTCGCCAAGTTGACTCGCTCTTGCATCACTTCAAACTGGGCCTGGAGATCTTGGTTGTATTCTTCAGGCGATAAAGGTGCACATGGAGGGCGACCAAAGAAAAGATCACAAGGCAGATGAAGGTCATGATTGAAGAGCATCAGAGATGGAGAATGGCCAGTAGTCTCGTGTTTCTCTTCGACCCTAGTATGATTTCGGCAGCTTTCTGAGCTGGGTCTTTTAGAGAATGAGTCGATGTTTCCAGGTGAGGATCCCTTCTGATGATGGATGGTTTTATCCTCTGATGCTGAAAGCAGTTAGTTTGCTGTTTTTGAGGTCC